CACACACATAAACACATACAAGAAAACGAAGAAAAGAAGAAACTTATAGAATTTCCTATGGATGTTATACTGAGCTCTATCCTGGCGACACAGCATGTTCGGATCTTCACATCAAATGGAGACGTTCACATACGACCGGGCGACGAATATGCTGTTTCCTCTGATACATTTGCGGTCTATCTTTAACTACAAACAATACATAATAAAATAATTCCTGTGTGATGAGAGCCAGGAGAAATTATCGATTTTATTTATTGTCTTAGGATGTGATTGACATGAAACACGTATGTGATGCACGCGTCTTCACCGCAAACTATACGAAATTCTTTAATATCGTTTCTCGGTGACCTTCCGCCAGGAATTTTGATTTAGCAAATGTTTACCTGTCGGTGGTAGGGTGGAGTATTGTACTGAGTAATCAGAAGGCCGAGTTCGAATTCTGGTCGAGTTCATTACATTCCTTATATCTTAATAACATTTGGAAAGGTATGAATTCATCATTTCTCCCTAAGCTATGGGTAAATAGCATGACAGTCTGGGTTCTATAGCCTTGGCTGGCAATCGGTCTAGAAGAAGGAAAACTCTGATTTCAAACCAGACTAGAGAGAAGGGGGCTCCTTGCCAAAGACGCACGACTTCTAATGCGTCAGCTATATAAAGGGCGATGCGTAAATTGTTACCATTTTATATTCTTAATTTCGTCTTGTTAGTCCTGGATTTTTGTCGAATGCCCAGGATAGTAGGGTCAGTTGGAGAACGTCTGTAAAAAAACAAGAGCACCAAGATGCAATTCACTCCGCCAGGAATTTGGAAACCGCACGCTGCACTGCTTGGCATTAGCGCCGGAAATTCCAATACAAATATTTCAGATTGTTTGGCTGTCAATCTCAGGATAGTGTAGATGATTCGAAAAGAGGTGAATGAGTCTAATGGTGATTACGATGGTACGGCAGCTCGGAAAACTCATTCTGATAAGAAAATAACTCCCGAATTTTTTGAAGAGTGCCTCAGAATCGACACGGAGGCCTACATCAAGTGTCTTAAAGAAGTATTGTTGCACTGGGTCAAAAAGGTGGCTGTTGGAAGACCCTTTCTGCCAACAGGTCTCTGTGCCATGCCACACAAGTAGAAGAACACAGTCATAACTGTCAGACAATTTTTGCGAGCACATCACCCCTTAGATCTGGCCACGTAACTTTTTGCACTGCAAACCAATTTATTATTATGTGTGGGGCGCGAGAGACCAACAAACTTTCTTTTAACACTAAAGATGAACTGAATGCAAGGATTATGGCAGAATTCATCAACTTAAACACGGAGACCGTCCAATAGAATTTCAAGAGATTCCGAAGTTGTCTGGAGATTTAACAGATTATTTGTTAGATCATAGTTAATGAAAATAAAAAAAAAATAGATAAAGAGTATATGACACCATAATACCGCTGGACATAAATTATAAGAGACAATAAATGAAAGTCTTATTTAATGGCACGATGATTTAATTATAATTTACTTGTGTCATGAATTTTGTACATATACAAATTGTCAAGCTTCAAAAAATTATAAATTTTATAAGGTTGTGCTATGCGGTTTTCACTGTTCACTGGAATGAAATTGCAATGTTACGATTTTGAACCTAAACTTAATCTTTAAACTCGTTTCTTCAAAAAAACGGTAACGATTTGGAATAATATATTTTGTTTCATTATTGAGGATGTCAAAACCAAACATTCAAATTGAGTACAATACCACGGTTCCAAAATCGAAATTCCCTATTGTCAGCATTGAAAAATATTGAGTTGCTATCGATTTAGAAGCGATATCTTGTTCAGACATTGTTAAATTGATCCTTGCTTTCATCGAGTTTCCTGAACACTTTGAGATTGCCACGTTTGAAACTATATTCGTCATTGATATCTGCGTACGGGATTTTTCTAGACAAGGTTTCTTGGAAAAAAACAAACTGTTATATTTAATTATATATGAAACAAGCAATGGGAATTATCTGAATAAATAAATTTAGTTTGGTTTTTCTTAACAAAGATTTGTCATCGAACAAAAATGTTCTGGCAAATGTTCCGGATTCGTCTGGAGATTTATTAGATCATAATTAATGAAACAAAAATATAAACGTGTATATAACACCATAATACTGCTGGGCACAAATTATAAGGCGAAATATATTAAACTTGCATTGTTTATTGAAAATTACCCTAAAATACTGTATTGTATAACATATTTCATCATAATATAGCTAAATTGTTCGGTATAATTTCCTTTGAAATAAATCAATATGATAACAAAATCATATGTAATAATGTGTTTCTTCCATGCATCTTGTCCATATAGAGTTTGTAAACTTCAGTAAATTATAAATTTTATAAGTGTATTCTATAACGATTTCACTCATCAACGAAATGAAATTCCAACGCTGCCATTTTGAACCTAAACTTTACCTTTTAAATTCGTTTTCTCAAAAAGAAAAAGAAAGAAAGAAAGAAAAAACGTCACGATTTGGAAGAAGGTATTTTTTGGCAGAATAAAGAGACCTTGCCGCCAATCTAGTATTGCGCTCAAATTCATAAAGTTTAGGTGCCATAGAGAAAAGTTAATCAGAACAATTAACATTAATTTATTTATAGAGAACAATCCTGTTAGCTACGTTACTGGGGTATGATAGTGACTGAAACCTAGATGTTAGGTTAGGGCCAATAAAATTGCAGATTCTTCTTTGAATTTGATCAAGATACTCTAAATATATAGCAGGGACACCAGACCATATTTGGCAGCAATAATTAAAGCAAGGAGGAAATATAAACTTATAAATATGTAAGATAGATTCTGGAGAAAAAAATTGACTAACAAGACACAGTGAATCAACGTTTCTAGCAATTAATTCAATATAATCTTATCACAAATTGCGAGCGGAAAACGTTATTCAGAGATGGTACAATGAGTTACTTTTCTGGGGGTTAACATTAGCTATGCTGACAGAAGGCAGAAAGAGGTTCTCTCAGACGATTAAGAGAGAGTTGTTTGAATTGTAGGCGTTAAAATAAACAAAACCTTCTTTGCTCCAAATAGCAACGCATTGTAGGAATGTTTTGTTAGATCAGATGCCAATTTGACCCTATCAGATTTACTATAAAGAACAGGAGTAAATAGTTTTGTCATCAGTTTAAATATTGAGTTGAGAACTGATAATGTAAGGATGTTGGTTTTATGAAAATTAGGAACAACGCAGATCCAAGTAGAGAGCTCGATGAAAGACCTGCATTAATGTAAAAATGATCTAGAGGAGTCGCCATTCAAGACCGTTTTCACTTGATAACAAAGACTGAAGCAGTTACAAAGTTCGTCCAGAAATACTATAATATTTCAACTTGTGAAGAAGACAACTATACCAAGCCCAAAGCATCAAACCAACAGCTCGAACTTGACAATTCTTACAGGATCTTTCAGCAAATAATCGTTAATATATCAGCATTTGACTTAGAGAATCAAAAGCCATATTTCTTATCTGAAACAAAATCCTGCGAGGTGATATGCTTAACCAATTCAAAGTTAGAGCTTCTTCTACTTTGCCAAAGAAGCTTCAGACCGTTCGGCTGAATTCTTAACGACTGGAACTACAGAAGGGAATTGACAACAAACAGGAAAGCAGCAAGGAATGTATTGGAGATTTTAAAGAGAATAGGAGCCATTTCAGGAACACATTTCTGAAGGACTATTACATGGATACCATCAAGACCAGATGTTGAATACAAAATAAACTAAAGATTATAAAGATTTCAACAATTACTTTTCTTCCTCTGTCAGAAAATATTTTGCGAAAAGAAATATTTCTGGAAAGAAAAGTTGCAATTTTTACGAAATTTGAATTTTTTTCTTTTTAAATTATTTTTTTTAGCTCAAGTAGATAAATGTATGCACATCTCCATAGATGTTAATCTGTCATAAGTTTGTTTTGTTGTTGTTTTTTTTTTGTAGGGGTGGGGAAGTGATCTAGGAATGAGTGAATACAAAAGAAACTAAAATTATAAAATTTAATCAAATCCACTTTAAAGATGATAGCAGAAACTATGGATGGAGTTATATGTTTATCACTCAGTAGACAATCTAAAATAGATAATAAATTATGCAATAATAATAACTAAAAATTTGCAATATGAGCACTGCTAAATATGCTTGCAGAGGCATTAGTTCCACAAATTCAGAAACAAATGTCTTCAAGAACAGATGGCCCAGTGGATAAAGGCGTTGATTAGATCCAGTGAATATACCCAAAAGAATTGAGAGTTCAATACCAAGCTATAGCAACGGTGAACCAGAAAATTTAGAGAGATGAGTTAAAGGGAAATAACTGAGGTATCCGGAAGACACATGGCGATGGTGGACGAAATAAAGTGTTCAGTTCGAAATTCCAAACAACTGAAGACGACCGGAGCGCACAACGTTGTGAATATAGCAACAAACGTTGTGAATATAGCAATCGAGACGAGGATAACAGTCCGAATAATAATCATAATACTCTATTTCAGATATATAAACAGAGATCGCTGACGATCTACAAAAAAGGTTTTCTCTATTTTGGGACGATTCTGCTTAAGTAGGTACCGTCGTAGATACCTAACGAGGTAAGAACAAGTGTTATGCTCTTAAAATTAATAAATCCTACCTGTAATCTGCTCGATTAAATGAGCCACAATTTCGTTCGTCATAAAGTTATCTCCCTTTGTTTCCCGCTTTTATTTTTTTTTCAAAAACTAGTTCTAATGAAAAATGCTCTGATGACATGACGTTAATTGAAATGCTCATTAGCACGTTTTAATTGAACGGTTGAATGTGCTGCCTGAGAAAGATGTCAGGATGTATTAGCAATTTGGAGAAGCAAACGAGACAAAGTCGATGCTAAGACGGGCTAGACTGTGGGTAGATTGTTTTTTTCCTAGTGACACGTAAGATATTTTCCGTGAAGTCGATTCTTATGCCAGTCCTACATGCCTTATCGTCTGCAGGCCCTGTGGTAGGCGTGGTGCGAGGATATGTTACAGACGTGACAGCCTCGACAGGAAGCAAAAAGGCTTTGCTGATGGCGTCAATTGACAGCGTGTCAGATTTACTTCGCCACACTCTGGAAAAAGGCGCAGAGGTACATGCACAATAATGAGATTTATTGGTATAGGCATATCGAAAGCGAACGTATGAAGGATTTTCTCGTTTTCCAGTGTGAGAAGTGCCTCTGAGAGCCAAAGTTCTTGCATATTGCATTAGAGACGGCAGGGGATTATTTAGAGGCTTATACTGGAAGCTAGGCATAAGAGTAATTTCTTCTGATCAAATCCATCTAACACCTGATTCGATATATAAATATATATACACACACACACAAATATATATATATATATATATATATATATATATATATGTGTGTGTGTGTGTGTGTATATATATATATATATATATTTATTTATTTTATATATATATATATATATATGTGTGTATGTATATATATATATATATATATATATATATGTATATATCTGTATATGTAATATATATATATATATATATATATATATATATATATATATATTTATGCGTATATGTATGTATGTGCATGTATATGAATATATATATATATATATATATATATATATATATATATATATATATATATATATATATATATATATATATATATATATATATATATATACATATATGTTTTTAAATTAGGATACAGAATACTGTAAATTTTTAACAAATGGAAAAATTTCATCAAAAATGGAAATGCCGAATACATATATATATATATATATATATATATATATATATATATATATATATATAAAGAAAAGAACTGTAAGATATAAAATCCGGTGTTCTTATAGATATGTTTATTTTTACAAAATAGTGCTCAATGTAAATTTACAGAGCATTAATATTATAAATTAATTGATTTAAAATGTGTTTTTTTTTCGCTACACAGTTCAACCATGTTTCAAAAATAGAAGCTAAAAACCCCGAATTTAATTTTGCAATTAAATTAAAAGCATTAGTTCCATTTCATCTTCAAGCGAATTTTGGAGTAACTTTTAAAAATTACCGGGTTTTAAAGACACAGCTAAAATCACGTTTCCATGGTTACAGAATATTCTACTTAAATTGAACAAGGGATGTCTAGATTTTCCTTATGTCAGTATCATTGTATCAGTTATTAGCTACAATTTGGTAAGGGGTAGGGATGTATTTTACAATGAAACCTGACATCAGTTGAATGGATGTCGTCTGAATGTTTTTTTTTAAAAATTGTTAACGGTAAAAAAATTTCAACGTCATTTTTTAAATTTAAAGATTTTCGGGGTTTGTTTTTTTTTTCTAATGCTTTTTATTTAACTACGATTTGAAATATTCTCCTTTTTAATTTTTATTTTACTATATTCTTTTTAAGAACAGTTAAATGTATTAGAATCCATTATATTTTGTAGGATTATTTTAACATCAAGTTTAAGTATGTATATGAGGTTACATTTTTTTTTTTTTAAATTCATGACTATGACTGCTAAAATGGTTATTTAATTTCACTGATTTAGTAAACTTTTATTTTATATATAAACCTAGTATTATAATGTTTCTCATGTAAGTACTAAGGACATGGGTCATTCAAAAGCTTACATCTTATGGCATTTCATATTAATTTTATTTTACTATAGGTGTATTTTTTTTTTTTTTTTAGTGTGTGTAGTATTATTTAAAAGAAATTTAGGTTAGAATTCATTCAATTTAACTACAATTTTAATTACAATTTCAAAATTACAACTTTAAAATTTTAAAATATTTTCATTGTTTAGTTTTAATAGACTATATTACTTTATAACAGAAGGAAAATTACTCATAGTAAGTAAAATTATTTTCCATATCAAAGTATATGTGAATTATCATTTTTTTTTTAAAACTTTTAAATTTAAATATTATTTAAGTAATATTAATGGCACTTACTAAAAAACTAGCTAAGTCATTTCTCAGATTTAGTAAACTTTATTAATTAATTTATTTATTTATTTCAAATATATGTAACCTAAGTAATAAAGTTTCATATGTATGTATAAAGAACAGGTTAAATTCATTTTTATATATATATATATATATATATATATATATATATATATATATATATATATGTTTTTACATTAGGATCCAGAATACTGTACGTTTTCAACAAATGGAAAAAGTTTCATAAAAAATGGAAATGGCGAATATATATATATATATATATATATATATATACAAATGTAAAGGAACGAATAATATAACTACAATGTTCAAAACATTAATTTAAAAGAATGCAAGAGTAGAGCAATAAATATTTATTATACACTATTACATTAAAACATGTAACTTACTACTACAAAATGGTACATTTTGTTTCGACGTTTAATAAACAACGTCTCATCAGTCAGTTAATAATGGCGGTAACCGTCATTGTTAACTACCTGATGAGACGTTTTATTAAACCTCGAAACAAAATGTACACTAATCTAATAGTGTAAATAAATATATACATATATATATATATATATATATATATATATATATATATATATATATATATATATATATTGCTTGAAGATGAAATGGAACTAATGCTTTTAATTTAATTGCAAAATTAAATTCAGGGTTTTAGCTTTTTATTTTGAAACATGCTTCGAACTGTGTAGCGAAAAAAAACATATTTTAAATCAATTAATTTATAATATTAATGCTCTGTAAATTTACATTGAGCACTATTTTGTAAAAATAAAAATATCTATAAGAACACCGGATTTTATATCTTACTGTTCTTTCTTTATATATATATATATATATATATATATATATATATATATATATATATATATATGTGTGTGTGTGTGTGTGTGTGTGTGTGTGCAAACTTTTCTGTTAGGGCAGACATAACAATTTCATAAAAGTTTTATTAATTATTACTGCGTTGAAGTTTTTTTGTTCATGTAATTTTCCTGTGGCCTTATAGTAACATTTTAAAATAAATGTTTGATAATTGAGTAAGTATAGGAAATAGACTTGGTCATTGATTCTCTATTTCATACCACACGTAGAAAAAATAATTTAAAAAAAATTAATATAAGAAAACAAGAAAAATTAAATAAAATACCTTAATTGCAGTTCTTTGTCAGTCGTATTTGCTCTCGTTCGCCGATTGAGCACTATGGAGAAAAGAAATTTTTAACAGCTGCTCCTCCTGCTTAACACATCGCTCTTCGCCAGAATTGTCTAACGTTTATATACATCACCTGTATAATGCGTTAAAAGATCCATTCTGTGCGCCGATAGCTTAGTGTTAGAGGACCTGACTGATTCCAAAACGGTCGAGTTTCGATCACGGCTTGATCAATTCGATCCCAGCTTGAAGATCTGAGATACACGCTGTTTGGATATATATATATATATATATATATATATATATATATATATATATCAGGTCATCCCATAAGTTCTGTCGAATTTTAAGTTTTGTTAAAATGAACGAAATTTAAAGAGTATTTTATAATGTCTTATGGAGCTGAACATTATTTTTATGTTTAGATGCATTTAAACTGATCAAATTTTATTTCAGAGAAAAATAAAATAAAATTGTGTTTGATTAAAACTCTGCTAACATGGAAGTACCCAAGAATCATTTGAGACACATAATGCTTTATGAGTTCAAGAAAGGAAACTCATCAGCCAAAGCGGCTAGAAACATTCACTCAGTTTATGGAGAGGAATGTGTGAATGAAAGAACTTGCAGAAGATGGTTTGCAAAATTCAGAGGTGGAGATTTCAACCCTGAAGATGAAGATAGAACCGGGCGTACAGCTGAATTTGATGAAAAGCTTCTTGAAGCAGCCCTTGAAGAAAATCCTGCTTTATCAGTTGAGGAATTGGCAGTGGTTCTCAGTTCAAACCATACAACTGTTCATCGTCATCTTCAACAACTTGGAAAAGTTCCTAAACTTGGAAAATGGGTGCCTCATGAATTGTCTGAAAACAACCTCAAATCCCGAGTTGACATCTGCTTTTCTCTCCATTCTCGCCAAGTTGTTTCACCTTTTTTGGATAGACTTGTGACTGGCAACGAAAAATGGATCTTTTATCGAAATGTTAAGCGTCGTAGACAGTGGCTTGTAAAAGGGAATGACCCCAGCCATAGCCGAGAAGGGAACTTCATGGGTAAAAATTTCTTCTTTCAATCTGGTGGGATCGCCAAGAATAATCCACTTTGAATTCTTACCACCTAATGCAACAATTAATGCTCAAATATACTGTCAGCAATTAGAGCGTTTGAATCAAGCTTTGAGGAAAAAAAGTCCTGCTCTAGTGAATCGAAAAGAGGTGATGTTTCATCAGGACACTGTGCGAATCCACACAGCAAGAATCACGTCACAAAAGATCGAAGAACTTGGTTGGGAGAAAATTCATCATCCACCTTATTCTCCCGATCTTGCTCCTTCAGACTACCATTTGTTTCGTAGCTTACAGAATCATTTGGAAGAAACAGCTTTTGTAACACAGGGAGAGTTTAAAACTGACATTTGTGAGTTCTTCGAATCAAAGCCAAAATAATTTTACAGTGATGGAATTAGTAAGCTTGTTAATAGATGGAAGGAAGTCATAGATAATCAGGGAAAATACATTGTTGATTGAATCTGTAATTAAATGTAACATTTGGTCACTTGTTTTCTTTATTCAAAATTCGGACAGAACTTATGGGATCACCTAATATAGTGTGTTGCCACTGAGAAACTGAAGGGTTTAAACAGTTATAACTTGATCGTTTTTAATTTTTTCTTTTCTTTTTTGTAGGTTATAGACCTCCCTTGGAGATTAAAATGGCTACGTACGATTGAGTTTTTCTATTCCAGTGGAAGATCAAATATTTCAACATAGAGAAAATCCATTTTAATGTCAGTGTATCTTCTAGCGATAACGTGATTCGGAACCTAATTGTCCGGTTTGAAAAGACAGGATCAGTCGGCGATTTTCCGGGAAGAGGTGCTAAGCGCACTTTTCACGCTGACGCAGCGGTGGATGCTATACAGCAGAATGTCCATCAACTTCTACCCGTTGTCGCTCTGCTAAGATAGGTGTTGCCAGAACATCGCTTCTGAAGATTCTGAAACTGGAATGTTTTCATATAAGATTCAAATGATCCATGCTTTACTACCCCAAGATTCACGTGTTTTTCAAAGGTATTTTTTTTTTTTATC